GAGGCCGGGGTCCTCACACACTGCTGTTTTTGGGATGCAGACCCCGGTTGTCAGTAGGTCGTGGTCCCCACCATAAGATGGAGCCTCAGCAGCAGCAGCAGGAGAAGACCTAAGACCCTACCGCTTTCCCCTGAATGGAATGCACACTCGTTACTCCTGCATAGCCTGAAAGATGGCCGAGATACAGTTAGAATGACCGTAATAGTTCCCTCTACATAGCACTGCACATATCTGGCCTTCGGGCACATACATCTCGCTATAGAGCACACATACACTGCACACATCTGGCCTTCAGGCACATACATCTCGCTATACAGTTACACAGAGCACACATAGCCTTCGGGCAGATACAAAACACATGGCCCTATGGGCTCATACAAACATACATAGCCTCTGGGCATACACTACACACAACTACGATACTGGGCTGGGGGGTCTATCAGGTATATGACGGGGTCCACTCACGCATGGCTTAGCTCTACGGTAGGGGTAGGGATATAAGTCGCTCCGGCTAGTATGAGCTCAGCGTAGCCTTGGGTAAGCTAGGGGAAGGACGGTAGGATGTGTCCACGGGCGCTGGCCTGCCTTGCTTCGGTAATCCTGCTGGGTAGACTCTCTGAATTGGGCCTGTAGAAAATTGCATGAGCCTGGCATCCGAAGTTCCCGTATGGCAAGGTTTGTCCGCTTCCGTTTCCATCACGGCTGGGAGGTTGGCCCAGCCTTGGTGCTTGTCACTGCTGTCTGGTCCAAGTTGCCCTCGATACTGGTAGGGTGATGGTCCTGAGCGCTGGTCACACTGAGGTAGGATAGTAGGGACAGGGGGTGCGCTGGGAGTATCAACGTGGGGATGGGTAGGGTACGTGGCCTATCCTGTCAGGACAGCCATTGGCTGCCGCTACTCGCAATCACCGCGGGTCTGGTCCTTGGCCGCTACAAAACCCCGGTCTTTAGAAAAAAAAAAGAAAAAAAAGAATGACCGTAAGTTCTATTCAGCGGAAGACTGTAGGGCCACCTGGGGATGGCAAGCTGCTGATGAAATATTGAATCTTTTTTTTTTCTTCTTCCTGAAATTCGCTCCATTCTATTCGTGGGGAGCTGCACGTGTTGGGAACCGGGCCCAACGTCCCTTATAAAGAATCTTGAGGCCGGTGTCCTCACAGTCTACCCGGGAGAACATACCGAGAGCATTATCCGATTACACTTTCCTATACCTTCAGAATAGTTAAAAAAAAAAAAAAAAAAAAAGGTATAGTAACTTTGCGGAAATTGCAGAGAAAATAAAAATAACTGTTAGTAGGTGGCATGGTCACGAATATCCTCTCTTGTAAAGGGGGAGGAAATAAGATTTTTAATCTGTTAATAACACAGGTAAATTGATTTGAAGTCGAGGTTCACACCCAAACTCAGGCACTGATATCAGGGTGATGCCATAGTAGATCTGAGTA